CGAAGGAGAAGCTGAAAGGGTTAAATTAGAGACAGTCAGTGGAGCAGCGCGAACACAAAGAGCCACAACCGGGGGAAAAGACCTTCAGGATCTCTGAGAACAACCGCGCGCACACACACGCACACACACACACACACACACACACACACACACACACACACACACACACACACACACACACACACACACACACACAGATAAATGAATGCAGATTTTCGTCAGGTGTGATTGGGCTTTACCTGCAGGTCTGCGGCTCTGTGAAGTCGGCTCTTGTGTTCACATGTGTTTGTGTTTGTGTGTGTGTTCGCCCCCAGGTCATGGGGGTCTTAATCAACTAGGAGGCATGTTTGTGAACGGGCGGCCGCTTCCGGAGGTGATCCGGCAGAGGATTGTGGATATGGCACACCAGGGGGTTCGACCCTGCGACATCTCCAGACAACTGAGGGTCAGCCACGGCTGCGTCAGCAAGATCCTGGGCAGGTAAACACACACACACACACACACACACACACACACACACACACACACACACACACACACACACACACACACACACACACACACACACACACACACACACAGAGCTGTAATGATGTCTGTACTGTACAGAGCGTATACTCTCTCGTCTCCCTCTGACCCTCTCAGAAACACTCTGCACCTGCTTCACTCTGAGGGTGACTCATGGGGACGCTGACTCCCCCAGTGACTGTACCGCTGTCCCTGTGTGTTCTCATTCAGGTACTATGAGACGGGCAGCATCAAACCCGGCGTCATCGGCGGCTCCAAGCCCAAAGTGGCCACTCCAAAAGTGGTGGAGAAGATCGCGGAGTACAAGCGGCAGAACCCCACCATGTTCGCCTGGGAGATCCGAGACCGGCTGCTGGCCGAGGGGGTGTGTGACGGAGACACGGTGCCCAGCGTCAGCTCCATCAACCGGTACACACACACACGCACGCACTCACTCACTCACTCACTCACTCACACAGACAGGGATACAGACTTACTCACACACATATGTACACAAACACACACACACACACACACACACACACTAACCCATGTCTCCCGTTGTCCCTCAGGATCATCCGCACTAAAGTGCAGCAGCCATTTAACCTCCCGCTGGACACTAAAGGCCTGAGCCCAGGACACACACTGAGTAAGTGCTGTGAACATGTGAGTTTACTGCGGTAATGATCAGTCTTATACTGTGCTGTGAATATGTGAGTTTAGCGCGGTAATGATCAGTCTTATACTGTGTCTTCAGTCCCCAGCTCCGCCGTCACTCCTCCTGAATCTCCGCAGTCGGACTCTCTGGGCTCCACTTACTCCATCAATGGGCTGCTGGGAATCACACAGACCACAGCGGATGGGAAGAGAGGACACGATGACAGTGAGTGCAGAAAACACCACAACTAGAGTAACACTACAGTAAAACTACAGTAATAAAATACAATGAAGGGAATTTTTACAAACTATTAGATGAAACCAAACTCAGTATAAGTAGCCTAGCTGAAATTACTCCTTTATCATGTTTTCCCAAGAAACCCCCATCCACCCCGTCTCCCCCTTCCCTCCTTTACCAGGGGCAGCTCTCGAGAACCACCTGATCTCGTACTCCCATTACATGCTTTACCGACCAAGCAGGAGCCCAGGGCTTAATTATCCCCGAGCTCAGGGTTCTCTCCCAGGACAGCACGCCAAACCTGCTAATAGCATCAAGCAATATCTAAGTGTGAACTCTTAAAACTTAACATGTTAGTTCAGCAGTTGCAGATATTCCACTGTTGTGTCCCCTGATAAATTAAAGTATAATTAATATCTGAATTTACATGTTTGGTCAACTAACAGTTCAGATCTGCAGCTGAGAGTAAACAGAGCTGCTCAGTGCCTGAGTGTGTGTTGTGCAGGCAGTAATGGAGTGTGTGTTGTGCAGGCAGTAATCAAGTGTGTGTTGTGCAGGCAGTAATGGAGTGTGTGTTGTGCAGGTGACCAGGAGAGCTGCCGGCACAGTGTGGACTCTCAGGGCAGTGGCGGCGGAGCCCGGAAACAGCTGAGAACCGAACACTTTCCCTCCGCGGCGCTGGACTGCGGGTTCGAGAGACACTACAGCAGCGACAGCTTCAGCCAGAGCAAAGCAGAGCAGGTGCAGAACATCGCATGCACATAACCAGAACCATATCTATAACCACAACCCTGACCCCTATCTGACCCTGACCCAGCAGCAGCTGTACCCGCTCGCGCTCATGAACCCCGGTCTGGACGAGGGAAAAGGAGCTTCATCCATCAGCAGAAACCTGGCGGCACATCAGGGCTACGCTGTGGTCACAGGTAAGAACTGCAGTCCTCATGACACTGACATAACTCATCCTTCATTCTACAAGAGGAGCAGCTCAGTGTGCAGAAGTGTACACACACACACACACACACACACACACACACACACACACACACACACACACACACACACACACACACACACACACACACACTCAAGCTCCTCCTCCTCATCTGCATATGTGTTAATAGTGTCTCTGCTTCTTGTCACTCATTCTGTTGTACATCCATTAACATCCACACATGCATCTCTCCACCTGTCTGTCATCCCATTGCTCCGTCTCAGAAGCTCTACAGCCCCTCCCACTCTGTCTGAAACAGGAAGTTTCACCTGAGGTGAACAGCTTAAGCCCCTCCCCCCACATCATCTCCGGTTCAGCCTTCCTGGACCTGTCTGCCATTTCGTCTCCGTCATCTGCGCCCGTTGCTAGCAGCTGCGGCTCCGCTCATTTATCTCACGGCTTCAGCTCATTTTCCCATCATGCCCCAGTTCATGGCCAGTTCAGCAGCCCGTCCCTCATGGCAGGTACAGCTTCAGCCGCGGCTCACGATCTCACAGGTGTGCGGTGGACAGATGACGAGTGTGTGTGTGTGTGTGTGTTTCAGGGCGTGAGGTGGCGAGTTCCATGCTACCCGGGTATCCTCCGCACATCCCCACGGCGCAGACCGGCTTCTCCTCGTCCACCATCGCCGGCATGGTATCAGGTGAGCTGCCGCCGGTCACACCTGCAGAAACACTGACGCCGCTGTAGGGCTCATGATGCGCACTAGCCTGTAGTAGATGAGGATGAGGATGCCTCCACCTGTCGAAGGGGAATTCGCTTATCCTGTGCCACACCTGAACAAGGTTCAGCAGGAGAGCTTAAAGTTCCCCGAGCAGCGGTGTGAAAACAACCGATCAGCTGTACTGACTACTGACTGCGCAGAAACACCGGGCTGTAGGGGACGAGGGAACGGCCAGGGCTGTGTTTGGGTAAACTGTAGAGTATTGCAGAGTATCCTCCATTACTGGCTCAGGACAGCAGTGTCTCCGAGCCTCACGCTTACACACTCTCGCTTTCACACACTCCCGTAAACTCTCTGCCACTGTGTGTGTGTGTGCCGGGAGACGTCTTTATCTCCTGTGAAGGTGTTTGGTGTTGGTCAGCGGCTGATGTTCTGATCAGGAGTGTGTTCCTTATGGAGTTGAACCTTGTTTGGCAACACATCAGGTAAATCAGAAGTAAATGGACAGTGAGAGGCGGGATGGAGGAGAACCCTAAACTCTCTTTAGAAAGACCACAGATACTCAGGCAAGAGGAGCAGTGCAGATCCCGCTCCTGTACTCAGACTACAGTGTCCCTCGCTATAGACTTCAGATTAGCACAGGACAGCACACCTGAAGAGCTGTAAACACTCTGATCTGTGAATGTCCTGAGCATTGGGCCTGAAGCGGTGGTGAATTGAGGATGTTGCAGGTATTGGAGGTGTTTATAACTGATGTGGTGTTGGTGTTGAGCTCTGTATGTTCTGCTATGTGTTATTATACATGTGGTGTGTGAAGTCCACGGCAAATGTCCTCAGGGAGAAATCAAATAATCCTGAAGTGGCAGATAAACCTCCACCGTACTATCGAGAGCAGACCCTCCTAGTGTTGAGCTGAGGGTGAACCATGATGATGAGAAGAGCTGTTGAAGACACACACAGCAGGCTGAGCGAGGTCGGGGCACAGTAATGCAGCTGCTGCCGTAAGCCTCCGCGGCCGTTTGCCCGGCTTGTCTTGTGTTAGTGTAGTTCTGTAGCATGAAGGGTTTGGTTTCCTCACGGTCAGCTGTGTTGGAGAGCTTCACCTGCGCATCTCCATCATCTCCACATGAAGGTCTCGCTCTGCTCCGTCTGCTAGATGATGCTGCTGGTTAATGATGTTCTGGGAAACTCAGCGAGCGAGTCCTCCACCGCTCCTACTCCGCTTCTGGAGTGTAGAAATCTCTGCCGTAGTTCAGCTCAGACTTCAGACAGCCGCTGCTCTCATGATGAATGGCTGCTGATGTTCTGACTGCAGCAAACATCTGCTGAAGGAGCCCAGGCGTGGAGCGTGGAGCGTGGAGCGTGGGGTGTGCTTCACTCAGACGGGCGGCCGGTTCCTGCTCCTGCAGCTCATCAAGGCAGTTTCTGTGGAGCCGGAACAGCGCACGAGGAGTGTGAGAGCGGGTTAGAGATTAACCGAGTCGGCGGGTTAATCAGTGTGTGTGCGCTGAGTCTGAACGCCCGCGGCCCTCGGCGGCTCAGGGGCCCGCGCAGGGTCCGACAGACCCAGATGGAGACGGCCATGAGTGAATGCACATCTATATGGAGAGCGCAGAGGAGCGTTTCCATTACGGCACAGACGCAGAGCTGGATGGAGCTTTCTGTTGCAGATGAAGTCTGTCCTGCCAAGCGCGAAATGAGAGGCTCTGATTTATTATTTTTCTGGTGGGCTCGCTGAGAGGAAGCGTTCCTACACAATTACTCACTGAAGGGGGATTCAATCCGCTCCCGTAATTACCAATTAGATGCTGGAATGTTAAGAGGAGCGCGGGAGACTGCAGGAGGAGAGAGGGGTAGAGGCAGACGGGACGCTCCACTGAGTCCACCAGCCGCCATTACTGCTGTACTGGAGCCCGTACGGCAGAACTGCAGCCGTGTGTGTGTGTGTGTGTGTGTGTGTAATGTGTGTGTTTGTGTGCGCAGCTCCAGAGTACACAGGGCAGAGCTACAGCCACCCGGCCTACAGCAGCTACAGCGAGGCCTGGAGATTCACCAACTCCAGCATACTGGGTGAGTCCTGAGTGTGTGTGTGTGTGTGTGTGTGTCCATGTATGTGTATGTGTGTGTTTGATCAACTTTTTATACAGACACACACACACACACACACACACCCTGCTGTGTCCTTCAGCTGTTGTGTAAAGTTTCCGTCATGTGCGCAGTGACGCAGGTCCACCGCCGTGTCTTCAGGCTGAGCAGGTTTGTGTGGAAACAAATAATCCAGCGGTCATAAGCGGTCAGGCGTGTGTGTGTGTGTGTGTGTGTGTGCACATGTGTGCGTATGTAGTAATGGCATGTGTGTACTGATAGTGTGTACTGATGGTGTGTGTGTGTGTGTGTGTGTGTCACCCCCTGCAGGTTCCCCGTATTACTACAGTTCTGCCACTCGACCGCCGCCGCCCGCCGCTGCCTATGATCATCTCTAACCCTCCACCAGACGGAGAAACACACACA